AGAAGATGTCTCAATATAGTATCTATGAATTCACAGTTTATAGAAGTCTTTAACCTTATAAGATAACTATCAAAGTGCCAGTAAAGACCCAATACTGGGTGTTCTTCCTACAATATTTATCTGTTCTACGACCAGCTCCAAAAGTGAAAACATTAAACAATTCTTCAGCATAGAACCCTCTACTATTTTGCTAGGAGTCTCGTTCTAGTTGGTTCTTAGAACTTCTAAAGGGGTCTACCCATCAAATATCTATTCAGCAAGGATGCAACTCGGCAATTTCAAAGTTCCTTCAAGAGTATTCCGACTTCAACAAAAGCAAAGCAAAGTTTTCCCATACTGGGTTTTTGCTTTTGTTGCACCCCGAGTATTTTGCTTGATGCCCGGGGCCATAAAAAGGTTAAAGGTTACAAAATGGCACGCACACACCGAAATGCCGGCTTGCAACATGTTGCATGTGTATGAGCATTAGTGTGCGGACGTGTGTGAGGCCCTGCTTCCGTGTGTGTGTGTGTGTGTGCTTTGAACTTTGATAAATGCAGATTTTATTGTAATTCGATATAAATTTGTGTGGCAAGGGAAAGGTGGGGCCGAGGCAATCGAAGCGCACCTCTCGATATTGATATTGATATTGCATTTTTATGGCCAACATTTAAACTGCAAAAATAAAGGGCCTAAAACGGAAATCGAAACATGCAGGAAATTGGAATATACAAACAATTTAATAGCCCTCCAACAGCGCAGAGAATTCAAAATGACAGGGATTCACGGGGTTTTAGCTTACATTCATACGTTGCAGAAGGTTATAGCCTAATTGGAATAAAAGGAAACTAGAGTTGGCCAATCATGCAGTCATCAATACATCCTTAAACATAGGATTGTTATTCCTAAGAGTCATTTGAATCTGATTAAAATCTCGCTAAGACGTTGCACTGTAATTCAATGTGGGGAAAATTGCCATTGGCACAGAAAATCTGATGTTGCACTCACACTGATTGTCAAAATGCCAGTTACACGTTAACGTTGACTGATGGACAGACAGCATTCATTGAGGAAAGAGAATGACTGGCGCAGAAACCAGTATGGTAGGGGCAGGCAAGAGAGAATATGTAGTGGGAATGGGTTCTCAAATTAGAAAATTCTCTCGCTCTTCCATATCCATTTCCATTTCCAGTCGCTTTCCAGGCACATTAATCAGGCCTGTTACAGGACGCCCGCCTCCTTCTGCTCCGCCTCTGTGCTGGCAGGCAAATTACATCAGTTTTGTATGGAAAATGTTGCCATTTAATTTAATGAGGCATCATTATGCCAAAAACTTTAATCTCATCAGGAGAGAGGCTGGCTGGCTGGGGAAAAAAAAGAACTGTAATTATTGAGATGCCGTTTTTTTCGGGCCTTTGGGGCGGGGCAGGTAGGTGTTTCAGGGTGGTAGGCGGTGGGCGATGGGCGATGGGCGTGTCGTGCTGTTAATGATGTTTGGCAACTTCAACTCCAGGCCGCCACAAACCCTTACACCTTCCACCCACACACACACACACCCCTTCGCAGACATAGACACCTTTAGCATCCAATTAGCGGCAAAACGAGTTTCTGGCTCTCACGTGTTTTTCTATCTGTTCCACTCTTCCACTCTCCCACTTTCGCCAGCAGCTCCATCCGTGCCGTGCCCCTCTGCGTCTAACAAGCACTCGAATCGCTCTTTTTTTCACACGAAAAACGTAGCTCACATATGTTTCATCTTGTTTGCTGGTGTGTGTGCTCGCACTACACACAGACGCAGAGGCACACCCACACTCGAGCTTTTGTGCAGTCGAAGGAGCAGCAACAGCAACAGCAACAGCAACAGAAGCAAACCAACAAACAACAACAAACAGTGTGGTGGAGTGACCAGGAGGGGGAGCAGAGGAATGGGAGCAAACACAAAAAAAGATGAAAGGAAGAGTGCAGTTTCGAGGACGGAAGTTTGTGATACCCTGGCAGATCTAACGTGTTTAAACATTGAGCGATATACTATAATGCTGCATTTATGGTGGTTCTGGTATGTATGCTTATCTCCTAGAAATATTAAAGATCTTTTGCAAAAGTTTTAGCTGCAAAATGAAGAGACTATTTGGAATCCGAGCTCTGATCTGCTCCGCTCTCTCTCGTAGGTCCAAGGTGAAGTTACATCTGCTCTCTATCGAGGACCATACGTTTGCCAGTATGCATGCAAACGTACAGAACGTAACACGTTTGCTATCTCTTTCTAGCGCGTGTCACCCTGAGAGCCACGAGAGCGTGGATGGTCCTCACCACAGCGGACGACACCACCTTTTAAGTAAATTCATCATGCCCTGGTCTAACACATACTACCCCCTGCCAGGGTATGCACATGAATGTATGTAGGTACAAATGAAAAATGGCAACACTTTAACTTTTGAACGGCACCCCACCCTGTCCACCACACCCTGCCTTATCCTACCTGTCCTTTTTTCAAATGCGTTTTTTAAGCCGAGATTATTTTTTGTTTTTCCCACTGCCCCCCTCACTATTTTTTTGTTGTGAATGGGAGTGCAAGTGCGAGTGTGGCAGTGTGTGTGTGTGTGTGTGTGTGGGCATAACTTTTGCATAATAGTGGCACAAAACAAAAACGGGCTGTGTTGTACATATGGCGGGGATCGGAGTCAACAAGCGTGAGGGTTACGTTCCGCTGCCGAGATTCAGCGGATTTCAGATTCCAATTAAGCTTTTTAAATTTTACACAGACAAGCGTATGAATGATGACGTTCATTTTGGTTGGCAGGATGTGGTACGAGCTTACCCCTACCCGCCCTACCACCCTACCACCTTACCATCCTGGCAAATGTGCTAATCATTTTCATTTTGCAATGAACAGAAGGGGAAACGAGAGAATGGAAAGAAAAGAATACAAGAAACAAGATGTTGTTTGCCCCCGGAACTCGCACTCGTGCTCATACTATCCTGCCTTCAGCCCTGCCGCACCTTTCAAGGACTCTTTCCGCATGCATTCCCAAGTAGTGGAACATGGGAGTGCCATTATGGAAAGTAATAAACAAGAAAATGGAATAACTAAATTCCTTTCAGACTGAATTCTAGATGCCCTTTGCCCGGTCCCAACGATTAGCATTTGTTGACAAAGGGAAAGAGATTTGTAAACAAAACTATAAATAGTCAGAATGGAGTGCTGATGGGATATCTTCCGAGTGAATGACATCATCAATATGCTAATCAGTTCTCAAGCGAATGCATCGACAATAGTGCGAGTGCTCTTATCATCTGGAATCTAGATCGCAGATAAGGACCGGCTTAATCGCTCAGGTAAGCAAAGCATAGGCGACTGCACTGAGAATACACAAGAACTAACGACATAAGAGGAATAAATACATTATTCTCTGGTGTCACGTTTTGAAATTCCGGGGTAATTAAAGCTTAAAAATATAAAGTTTACCAATTTTTAGTTGAATATGTAAAAAAGACTTTATGGAAGAACTATTATCAAAAATCATATTTCTTGTAGAAGATAATAATAATGCCAAACATGACCATACAAATTACAACATTTGCTGATTTGAATAGGTTTTGCACATCAAAGTTAATGAAATTTTATGTCAATTTGTTAAATTAGTTGATTTCAATAAATTTAGAAAATAATATCGGTACAGAATTATTGTTTTTTGGCCACTCTCACAGCAAATTTCATTCTCAGCGTTAAAATGTAGCCTCCTTATTGGGATTCAAATAAAAGATTTGAATAATTTATTATACGCGCCTCATAGCATTTTTTTTAAGCTGGTAACGCGCACCCCAACATTTGCTTAAAAAGCTTTCGATTTGACAGCTGAAAGCTCTAACTAACCCAGCTGCTGCTCCCTATTGGCTCTGTTTTCTCTTTTCAAATCGGGTAATTGTCTCTTTTTGCTTCCTTTAAATCGGTTAAGGATCTCTTTTTGCTTCCTTTAAATTCTGACTGAATAGGCCGAGCCTTTTTATTACGGTGAATATGCCGCAAAATTGGGGAATCAGCACATGCGTCATGCTGTCGTGATAGTTTTCTGCCAGCTATTCAGCGCGCTTAACATGTTGTCACTTTAAAGGACCGACTTTTCCACAGGTTTGAATATAACGTACAATAACCGAAACTGTTTTGGTAACTCAAACGGGTTTAAAACGAAAACGACAATATTTATGCTTTGAACTTCACTTTCAAAAAAATTCCACTTTGCCGCTACTCTTAGAATCGGCGAACTACATAAATATGTAGTTGACATGTAGCAAAATGTTAAGACATGTAAAATGTAGAATAATTACCGATGTTCTTGGCACTGCGAGGTTTAGTTTATACACAGTTTTATAAGGTCAATCACAGTACATTCTTCACTATACACTCTCCCATTCAGGCTGGGGATCGTAAAGATCAAAACAATGATAAAAATTCGACAGTTAGAAGAAAGTTTTAGACATAATTGACCGGCCCAGACACAAACAAGACGTGGACCCGAGCTACAGCGTTTGTTTATGCTGGCAACCTTAAAGAACGCGCGCCACAACAGCTGTTTCGAAAGCTTTCCATTTGACAGCTGTAAGCTTACTCGTCGCAGAGGGCGCCACCATCACCTGAGCAGCTGCTCCCCAAACAAGAACAAAAATCATGGAAACAAAAAATAAAATACGCATGTATGACCTTCGTACAAGGTGACTGGGGCAGAGAGAGAACAACAAATCAGAAGAGAGAGTGGAGAGAAGAGAGAGTGGCCAACAAAGCTTCAGGTAGGAGTGAGGAGAGAGAGTGCATAACAGAGGAATGGAATGCAAGCGACGCTTTGCTGTATGCTCTGTTCTGGTCTGCTGCTGGGAGAGCCTGATAAGAACCCCAACTGTGTGTCACAGAGAACTCAGAATCAGCGCCAAAAGTGAGAGAGCCCGAGAACGAGAAAGCTGAAAAGCTTTGATGGACAAAAACAAAAGCATATAATGCACAGCGTCGCCTGAGAAGTGCTCCGGAGTTTGCAGCGAACGGTCCTCTTGGTTTCTTGGTCGATTCTTTTCGCATTCGCTGACGGGTTTTTCACACACGCGCACCCACGCATCGGAACAGAATCCACCCATATACATATATATATAGTATATATAAATTGTTAAAAAGAGACATATACCGTATATAACTAGGACAACCATGTCGAAGCCCCAATCGGACGCGGATCGACGCAAGCAAATCTCGGTGCGCGGCATTGCCGAGGTGGGAAATGTGACCGAGGTGAAGAAGAACTTCAATCGCCATCTCCACTACACCCTGGTGAAGGATCGCAATGTGGCCACTCTGCGCGACTACTATTTTGCCCTGGCGAACACCGTCAAGGACAACATGGTTGGACGCTGGATACGCACACAGCAGCACTACTACGAAAAGGATCCCAAGGTAAGTACCCCACTCCATTGAGGGCTATTGATTTTACTCCCACTTCATGGAAATTTCCCAAAAAAACAAAACGTAACCTAACTTTTGCTCTGCCTTTGACCCCCGAAATGTGTGCGCGCTCCAGGCTAAAAGAGCCCATAGAAAATGGATTCAATTTATTTTATATTCCATTTTTTATTTTTTTGGGTATTACGACATTTTATTTTTGCGGCCTGTTGTCCGCCAATTTATTGCGCTGTCCGCTTTGGTGGCCAAATTTATTTTTCTCATCTGGCCGCTTGCTGCACTTCTTTCGCTTTTGTTTTCCTACTCGTTCGCAATTATCTGTCGCCTCTCCTCTGCCTAATTGCACACCGATTTTTGGCAACATATCCCATAGTGCAATGGGATCAATGCCAAAAACGTGAGAACGATGTGTGACGAGAGAATGCCCAAAATTGCAAACTTTCACTGCACACAAATTGGTAGTGGAGGTGGACCCAAAAGCCGGTTACTGCGGGTTCTCCTCTAGCAGCTGATTTTAAGGCCTATAACAGCTTATAAATAGCTTCACAGCTGTCGTCGTATTGCTTATAGAATCTATAACTATATACATAAATCTACATCTATCAAGTGGCTTTCTTTTGTATGTTTTTGTGATAACTCAATTGGCATACAATTTCCTTGAACGAGCATCTAAATTTCGTATTTATTTATTTTCTTTCAACATTTCTATGGCTAATGAAGATATCCGCCTTAGAAAGATGATACATGTTGTAGCAAAATTCTTATGAAGTACGCCCAAGCTTAGCCCGTCCACCGGCCGTGTATCCAACAGATACACAAGTTGCTCAACACGTGCCCAAAGCGTGAGAGCTTTTCATTAGCAAATATTGTACTTTCGCAGCACATGACTACTCTTTGTCCTTGCCTGAATGTCAGCTTAAATCACTTTCAATTTCGTGCCCCCGTTAATATCTCACAGATACAGCATAACTTCACCGATCTATTAATTATTCATTGAGTACAAATACTCGCGGCGCCACAGCAATTTCGGCACCCAAAAACTTTCCGGGTAGTACATATACTTTTTTTTGGTCTCATAAATATTTTCAATTTAACTAATTTCGGGGGAAAACTGCTGTTGTTGCTTCTGTGTATGACAAGATACATACATATATACCAAATACATACGTATATAGGCAACCGACACACATATTTTCAAGGTCAATCAAAGGTTATTAACAACAAAACGAAAGCGTCTTCTTGACAAAAATATAAAGGAAAATTTTTGTATATGCAGTGTCTATATTTCTTTGCAGGTCTTTCTCTTATTTTTATTTCGGGTACACTTTTGGGGGGGTGGGATGGGTTAGCTATGCGCTGGTCGTTTGTCATTTAGTTCAGTCGAATTTTTCCTTTACGTTCAGGTTTTATGGAACTTTTATGTTACCCATTAATAGATCCGATGTTTGTGTTTAGTTTTCGGGCGTGCGGACACGGGCATACAATGCAATTAACTCACGCAATCATCAGAGCAGGGAGAGGGAGTACGCACGAGTATAGTATGGGGTTGATTGTATCTCATGGATACATTGAACAGCTGTTGTGGTGTGTCTAGAGTTGGCTCTAATTGAAGAACCACTTTCATTCCATCTATTCCAATCTGCAGTAATTTATGTAAATTGAAGAAAGTTCATTGAGTTGGATAACCAGCTGCCACTATTGGGGGTAAGAGTTCTTCGGAATTTTCCTATATATATAAGTAGAAAACTTTGTGTCACTGAATCCATATGCTTCCACAACTTATCACCTAATGGAAACCTAATCCAGTCATTAATGGCCCTTCCTATGCACATCTGCCATACTTATACATATGTAGATATAATGTGGCTATAAGTATATAGGCTATATGTACCTATAGAAAAACAAAAGCAAACAAATATCATTTATTGTTATCAAAAGCAGCAACAAACAACAAAACATATGTACTCGTATGTCTGGTTATAGTTCGCTATCGGTTTGGGCCAGAACGTTTGCCAAAGTCCCCTACTTACCGACTAGGTGAAATGGCAACCAAATTCTAAAGTTGAATGACTTAAAAAGCTTTTACGAGTATGTTGACCCAAAATTTACGTTTTGCCAGCTTTTCGATTAGATAAGCCAAACAATTTTATTCACATTTTGAGAGTGAGGTAGGGTCGTGCTTAGACTTGTGGCTCACAACAGCGTATGGGATCTTTCCTTATTGAATGTCTTACCTTATGAAAATTTGAATCACAAATAAATTGTTGCATATCAAATGTCTGGTATACGGGGATAAGGAAGTATCTAATGATGTTTTCCACCCAACTGATTTCATTTAATGGTCCATTGCTTTTTTGTATCATAGTGTTTAATCCCGAATCAATCATTGGACATACTCGTATGTATATCGAGACGCACAAGCGAATTTTTCAAAAACAGAGAAAACAAAAACCAATTTACTGTCTTGTGCATGACGCTTTATAACTAACTTCTCTAAATTATGTTAAGAATCTATATACTCGTATAGTTGGAGAAAATATTCAACCAATTTCTCCCTACTGATTCCATTTCCTGGTGCATTATTTTCTTGAATCACAACCCAACATTTATATTATCGGAAAGTTTGCGGAATGTTTCTAATCAATAAGCTCAACCCTTTAACCCCGTTACACGTAGAGATGCTATGATGAGTATTATGCACAAACAAGATTCGTCAAACAAATCTCAGACTTCTAATTAGATGTGGGGCAGGGAGCCAGCATGCGCCTGGGGTATGCGTTTTTTAGGGCATAATCTACATATGTCCGCTGATAAGGATTGTCCGGCGCATAGTCGCATACCTTGAAGCCATTAAGTGGCGACACTGTCAACGATGATGTCGACTGTCGACAGTAAACCCGATCACCACATCACCCTAGCATTGACCAGAGATGCAATAGATAGATTTCCATTCCGATGCATTAGATTCATGCTCTGCACTCAATCATACAAAGTGCAGCCCGTATCGACAGTACATAATCCTCCTGATAACTGTTGCTATAAACAATCAAATGCCCTCGTAACATTATGGCAATCAGTGGCAACCGATCGGAATCGGATCGGATCGAATCGAACCTCTATTAATAGTTTCCATTAAGGCTGCCCTGAAATTAGCAAACGATTCCAGCGATTGATAACGCCTATGTTGTCATTGGGAGAACTGGGTGACCTTGTGGGGCAAGCCGGCACCGGCACCGGCACATGTCCGGCATAACTGGGCATCCGATCGATACGGTTCCTTATCAGGCATTGTACAGGTATTTGGGTGTATGCTGTACAGTTGAGCCTGGGCTAAGAATGGAACCTTGCACTTGGCGAATAATTCACGGGCAAAACAAAACGGTTCTGCTTGAACAATAATCTTAATCCGATTTTCTCTCTCTTTTAAACCCATTGTTGATTTGCTCTTAAACTCTTCCAAGATACGCTCTTAAAAGCATTCTGATTCACTGAAAGAGTTCATCGTTAGTTTTTAGACTTAGACATTAGACTTATACTCGAAGAGTGGGCAGTTTGGAAATAACTTGATAAACTTGGTTCAGTGTGATATCACAGGAATCTGCACACAACATTTTATCATGTGTAGTGGTTTATTGTGTAGGGACATTCGTTGGCCATCGCTCCAATCAGCACTTTCTTAAGAGCGGAATATTCAGTATTTGGCTCGTACTTGTTCTTGTTGGCGTTGTCTGCTATTTTCTTTGTGTGCTTGTAATTGAGATTCGCTCAATTACGACATGCTCACATGCACATTTTCGTTATCTTGTTGCAGAAGAGCAGAAGGCTTTCTATTTCGTATCTTGCTTGTTTCTTGCTTTATTCGTTCAACGGCCCAATGGTATTTTTTAATCTTGTATTGTATCCAATCTTTAGAACTATTGATCCCTGATCCCAAATGTACCTTTCCTATGAATTAATCGCCATCATCCCCTGATTTTTCTTTCAGCGTGTGTACTACCTCTCGCTGGAGTACTACATGGGTCGCTCCCTCACCAACACCATGATCAATCTGGGCATCCAGAGCGAATGCGAGGAAGCCATGTACCAGATTGGTCTGGACATTGAGAATCTCGAGGATATGGAGGAGGATGCCGGTCTGGGCAACGGTGGTCTCGGTCGCCTGGCCGCCTGTTTCCTCGACTCGATGGCCACTCTGGGTCTGGCCGCCTATGGATATGGCATTCGTTATGAGTACGGTATCTTTGCCCAAAAGATCAAGAATGGTGAGCAGGTGGAGGAGCCCGACGATTGGCTGCGTTATGGCAACCCTTGGGAGAAGGCACGTCCCGAGTTCATGCTGCCCGTCCATTTCTATGGCCGTGTGATCGATACCCCTGAGGGTAAGAAGTGGGTGGACTCCCAGAAGGTGTATGCCATGCCCTATGACAATCCCATTCCCGGCTATGCCAACAATCATGTCAACACGCTGCGTCTGTGGTCGGCCAAGTCACCGGCTGACTTCAACCTGAAGTTCTGTAAGTCCCAAACAATTATACTCCCCCTCAAAGAACCTCCCATTAAGTGATATCTCATTCCTGATTACAGTCAACGATGGCGACTACATTCAGGCCGTGCTGGACCGTAACTTGGCCGAGAACATCTCGCGTGTGCTGTACCCCAACGACAACTTCTTCGAGGGCAAGGAGCTGCGTCTCAAGCAGGAGTACTTCATGTGCGCCGCCACTCTCCAGGACATTATTCGTCGCTACAAGGCCTCGAAGTTTGGATCCCGCGAGGCGGTGCGCAACTCCTTTGATCACTTCCCTGATAAGGTGGCCATCCAGCTGAACGACACCCATCCCTCGCTGGCCATACCCGAGCTGATGCGCATCCTCCTCGACGATGAGCATCTGACCTGGGAGAAGGCATGGGACATTACCACCCGCACCTGTGCCTACACCAACCACACTGTGCTGCCCGAGGCTTTGGAGCGCTGGCCCGTGTCCCTGCTGGAGTCGATCTTGCCCCGTCATCTCCAGATCATCTATCACATTAATTTCCTGCATATGGAGAATGTGAAGAAGAAGTTCCCCACGGATCTGGACCGCATGCGTCGCATGTCCCTGGTGGAGGAGGATGGCGATAAGCGCGTCAATATGGCACATCTGTCGATTGTGGGCTCCCATGCCGTCAACGGTGTGGCTGCCATCCATTCGCAGATCCTGAAGGACTCGCTCTTCCGTGACTTTTACGAAATGGAGCCCGGCAAGTTCCAGAACAAGACCAACGGCATCACTCCACGCCGCTGGCTGTTGCTGTGCAATCCGGGTCTGTCCGATCTGATTGCCGAGAAGATCGGCGACGAGTGGCCCGTGCATCTAGACCAGTTGGTGGCCCTGAAGAAGTGGGCCAAGGACCCGAACTTCCAGCGTAATGTGGCTCGTGTCAAGCAGGAGAACAAGCTGAAGCTGGCCGCCATCCTGGAGGCCGACTATGGCGTGAAGGTCAATCCCTCGTCCATTTTCGACATCCAGGTTAAGCGCATCCACGAGTACAAGCGCCAGCTGCTCAACTGCCTGCACATCATCACCCTGTACAATCGCATCAAGAAGGATCCCACAGCCAATTTCACACCGAGGACCATCATGATCGGTGGCAAGGCCGCACCCGGCTACTATGTGGCCAAGCAGATCATCAAGCTGATCTGTTCCGTTGGTAATGTGGTCAACAATGATCCCATTGTTGGAGACAAGCTGAAGGTCATCTTCCTGGAGAACTATCGCGTGACGCTCGCCGAGAAGATCATGCCCGCTGCGGATCTGTCCGAGCAGATCTCCACCGCCGGCACAGAGGCTTCCGGCACTGGCAACATGAAGTTCCAGCTGAACGGCGCCCTTACCATCGGCACGCTGGACGGTGCCAATGTGGAGATGGCCGAAGAGATGGGATTGGAAAACATTTTCATCTTTGGCATGACCGTCACCGAGGTGGAGGCCCTCAAGAAGAAGGGCTACAATGCCTATGACTACTACAATGCCAATGCCGAGATCAAGCAGGTGATCGATCAGATCCAGGGCGGTTTCTTCAGCCCCGGCAATCCCAACGAGTTCAAGAACATTGCCGATATTCTGCTCAAGTACGATCACTACCTCTCGCTGGCCGACTTTGATGCGTACCTGAAGGCCCAGGATCTGGTGTCCAAGACCTACCAGGTAAGCATGGATATCCATGGGTAAAAACTTAAGATCCAAAACTCTTTCTAAACTCTGTCCTTCTCTTTTTCTGCGCAGAACCAAGCCAAATGGCTGGAGATGGCTATCCACAATATTGCGTCCAGCGGCAAATTCTCGTCGGATCGTACCATTGCCGAGTATGCCCGCGAGATCTGGGGCGTCGAGCCCACCTGGGAGAAGCTGCCGAATCCCGAGGATCAGTAATAATTCAATTGACATTTTTGATATTATGTTATTATTTATGTACTTTACTTTTGTTAAAGTCAAAGTGCAAATTTTAGGAGCCAAAAGCAACACCAACTAAAACTAACCAACGGGCATCTCAGCCCTCACTCCTAAACCCCCAATTGTTAATATTTTATTTAATAAAAATCCAAGGTAAACTATTAAAGAACGCTCTCTAATCTAAATCTGGAAATAATTCATAGGAGCGGCGACTGGCCTCAGCCAATTAAAAACCTCAGGAAAACTTTCAAAGTTAAAAATTATAAAAGAAAATATATAGCAAATATATTGATAGTGGAACGAAAACCAAAAAGGTCTTGGAGTTGATTAACAACAAAATATAGTGGAAAGCTTTTGTTTAGAAATCGGATATGCGTGTTTTAAAAATGAGATCAAAACTCAAAACTGTTAAATGTAAAAAATAATTTAAATTTAATAAAATTTGATTCGAAAACAAAGGAAATTTAATGAGTTTTTGCTAAGGAATCTAAAGGATCCATGTACACTTTATAAATCTACATCTCTCTACTATTTTTGGGGCTTGTAAAGGACTCTTAAAATATGTATATGAAAGTTGTTTAAGAACTTTAAGAACAAAAGTCTCATCTATGGATGCCTGAAGAGTTTACCTAAAGCTTTAACGTAATATTATTCTGAGACGAACTATATGAACAGAATTAATAGCTGAGTCGATATATGTAGCTATTGTTCGTCCCTTCGTCCGTCTTGTTTGATGCCCAGTTCTCAAAGACTACAAGTGCTAGAGCAAACAAATTTTGTGTGCTGACAGAATGTGATATCCCAAAAAATATTCAAAAAGAACTGGTTCGGTTTTGGTCGTGAATTATTCAACTGTACAATGCCTGAGAAGGAATCGTATCGATCGGAGCTTTAACATCTTCAACAACAAACTTCGCAAAAACAAAGCTAAACAAAATTCAAAACAACAAAATACAAATGAAAATTGAATAATAAATCATACAATTTTCCAGAAAACGATGAATATCTTCAATGAAATATTGACTTGGGGCAAGATACCACAGGAGGCTATTGTGGAGGATGCAAAAGTTCTGGCTATGGCACAAGAACACCGCTCAATGTTTATTGATTTTGTAGATACTATTTGAATTGTACTATATTTTAGTGTATTCTGGCAGTGTGCATGAATGAACGGTTAAAACTACATTAATATTTAGTGAACATCTTATTCGAATATAAACGATTCATTGTTTGATGTTAGACCACTTCAAAATGGCTTGCCTAAGTTCTGGAAATGTCTTATGAAATTCCAACAATTAATCTTAGCAAAACCAAAAGAGGAAGCTCTTCTTGGTATGCTGATTCCCAGATCGTATTAAATAAAAGGTTTCTTTCTAGATATTTTTGTACAGTGTAATTGATTGAATTTTCTTTTAGGTAGGTACCTAAGACAATTTTAAGTCTTTTTAAAATAAGAGTCGCATTGGGTGTTGATGTTATTGTTGGTTGAAGAGACAATTCAGAATTCGTTTTAGAAATGTTACAAAATGCATCAGAGAAAATGATACGATCGATCCCAGGATATGGTTGATTAGTAGTTGACCCTGGAGGAGCGTGTTGTTTTGATAGAGTACTGTCGATCGTCGCCTCGCGAACTACTGCCGCCCGCGGCTCCTCCACCTCGTTCTCTGTCAAACTTCTCATGGGAACGCTCACGTGGGGATTTATCCTGAAAGACAAAACAAGGAAACATAAGAAAAAACCAACGTTAGGGGCTTCTTCGAAAGAACTCACTCTGTGTCGCTCTCGCTCACGCAGATCATCATCGCCGTTTTGTGCTAAAAAACGTTGATTAAAAATTGGATGTCTTGAAAACTTGCTTGGGTATAGTCCTTACCTTCGCGCCGTCGCTTGTGCTCGACATTGTTGGACTCCTCGGCGCGGTCCCGCTTGCGTCCCAGCTTGCGATCCTTGCGCGCATCCCGTTCCTCATCGGACATCTTGTCCTTGTTGCGCTCTTTGGTTTTGAGACGCGCCTTCTTCACGCTGTCGACGAGCTCCTCAACCTTCTGTAATGGCCATAGGATTAATAAGAATAGGCATCCAAAGCATCCACGATATATGCGTGTGTGTGTAACTAATTATGTGTGTGTGTGTCCCTTGTGTGTGCGTAGGTTGTGTCTTGGTCTGATTTGGAGTCCCTACGATTGGTATGGTTATATATACATGGGTGTACAAGTATTGTCCGCCGCCCTCATCATCTCGCGTTCATCACTTACCCGTGGCACGGAATTAACAACTAAACTGCAATCAGGTGCAGTACCCACAGGTACAGTAGGCAAAGATATCGCGTACAGGCTAGCAGAGTCAGGGCAATAGCAATGTAAGGCCGAATCACGTGTCCACAAGGATGAAGAGAGGTTCGTTCCCATCGTTTTTACAACCAAATGGGTCAAGAAGATTGGCAACGTGGTTCCCACAAAGGGAGTCGACAGATGGATATGATCCTCTGCATCCAGAAAGAGAGTTGACGGAAGCTACAGCCTCTGGATCCACGAAGAGAGTCGGACAGATGTTACGACCCTATGTTTCACCGAAGAGAGAGCCGATAGTCAGCTATGACTCTCTGGATCCACAAAATGAGCGTTGGCAGATGCTCCAAGCCGCCGGATCCCCGAAGAGAAAGTCGACGGATGCTACGACCCTCTGGGTTCACGAAGAGATAGAGTCAATAGATGCTACTTAGACACTCTAAGTAGATGAAGTCCAGGTGCACGCATGTACAGTGTTAGCCGTAGATGAAGTAAATGGCGCCTCCAACGTTCCAGACTGTTTCATATTATGGAGGAATTCCCCCTTTGAATTTTGTATTGGAGGGCCAGTTGTTCCTCTGCGCAGGGCGAAGCCAGATATTTTAGCTCGATCAGACAACCCATTTTCCAGCTTCCAGTTGTGTCCTCGCTCAGTATAGATACAGAAGATGAGAAAACATCCTCTTGGCTTGAAATTTGTTAAAGAATGCAGTTGCTCCAGAAACAACAGTCCATTTGCGAGACTCCAGTTGTTCCTTGGTGGCGTGGATCCAGTTAATAATCCCTTGGAGACAATCCAATTGATTATCGTCTCCGCCTTCCTTCTTCTTCGCCTTCTACTCGTACTCCTCTCCGTCATGTTGAGAGCTTTGTGTTGTTTCTTCAGACCGATCACGTTAGATTCAAGGAGCTTCCCAGTAATATCTTCCTTCGTGTAGTCGTCGGGTCGTCTTCTTAGCTCGATTCATATTCAACGGCTAAGATGAGGTCTAATTTGTGATCGCCGAATTTATACGTTTTATGGAATGATTGAAGTTGTAAATTTGGAATTTCTTCAACTAAATGGAGTAGTAATTTTTTGCTCAATTTTCGTAAGTAGATGTTGCGGTGGTTGTGTAGAATATTTTGTAGAAGTTGTATCGTGAACAGCGCCAGATTCGATTTTAATTTTTTCGCAATCCTTTGAACCAATCTTTGAATGATTTACTTTTACGAAGACGGTGGATATAAATGCTCGATGATGCTCTCTTGATTGAAGACTTCTTCTCTTTTACTTGTGGCTTGGATTACGATTAGTTGGTTTTGTTCGTTGTAGCTTTCGTTTCTGATGATTTCGTTGGTTTTTTGATGATTTTTTTTGTTTGTTTGTTTTGATTTGGTGTATTAAAAAATTGCTTTCCTATATTTTTTCTTCTTAGCGTTGCAGCTCTTCAGGTCTTAGATGTTGTGGTCTGGTCCCGATTGTCATCGTCATCGTGTGTCATGACAGGCGCGGCGAGGTTGTATTGCAGTTGAAAACTTCCATCGATTTACAGATTAATTTTAAAACTACTAGAACTATTTAACAACTATACAATACAATAAAATACATTATCAAAAATACTAAAATTTCATTCAATGAAATTCAATCATGCTCTTGCTTAATCAGTATATATCAACTTGAGAGTCCAGATGGATGTGTTTTTTTTTTTTTAAATTTATGTTTGGGTTTGGGGCTTTCTGCTTTTTGTGTATCGATTGAAGTTTTGAAGTAGTAGATTGTGTTCCGCAACTGCTGCGAGATTGGGGAGTGTTCGAGAGGGAGTTTTGATGTTTTTGGTTGGTTGGTGGTTGGCGGGCCTACCCCCCAAAGAAGTCTCGCGCGCAGTCTGCTCCAGATTTTGATCGCCATCGCAGATTGTTGTTGTATTTTTTTTTTTTGTCTTAGCGTACTTATGTCTGCAACCATATGGTACTAACCTTTGAACTGCTCGACGATGATTCCAATTTGCGACGCTTTGAATCTGCAAGGTAAAGCAAGGGAAGCATATTGAAAAATCGTTGTAAACTGTATATTCTATATGTTCTACCAAGACGGTTCAATCGGTATTCTCTGGGTATTTGATTGTTCGATTTTTCGGACCGAAACGTAAGTATTTTCTGTTGTTTATGGGTTCTTGGACTAACGAACAGATGAACCAACCACACGCGCTCTTCTCCTTCATCGGGTCATCACGAAAAACCCCGCCATAGAAAAGTTTTCGGGTCCTCAGGCAACATATATGATTCCACTTACCTTTTTCGTATTCAATAGCCTCAAGGCTGCGTCTGTGTTGCATGGAACCATTGCTCTCGTTCGAAACAGAGCTCAGATCACGATCCCGATGGCGGCCCTCGTACTCGTCAAACTGTCGATGCTCAGTTGAGTTGCTGGCCACCAGATCCACTGTTTCCAGACCCTCGTGTCGATGCCGCTCCTCACGTCGCGATGTCTTCTCTCGCTTCTGATTACGTTGGGCTGCTGCCGCCTCCAGTTCTTCCTGGCGTTGGGCACGCTCTCGGGCACGCTGATTCAGCTCCGCTTCAGTACGCTCCTTGGGGCGATTGTTGGTCTCTCGGGAGCTGCGATGGCTGCTGGTGAGGCTGCTGTGCCTCTGCTCGTGCTCCCGTTCACGATCCACTTCACGGCTGTGACGATCGTTTTGGCTGCTGCCATTGCTGGCATTGATGCTGCCAGACTGGAACTGCTGCTCCTGGTGCAGATGCAGCTCATCCTTCGTAAGGCGGGAGTGTGACTCTCTGGCTCCAGGCAGGTCTCTTTGCTTGCTCTCCCGTTCGGACGGCGCTGAGTTGGCGGTGGATGATGGTGGCACCCGGGGATCGGTGGGTTTCGAGTCGTGGCGCGTGCTGAGAGCTGCAGCGCGAGAGAAACAATAATTAATGTTAAATTTTCTTACTTTTGAAAATCCCTGACAAAATGCTTACATGACTTTACATCTCGTTCTTTGCCGGTTGCATTTTGTTCGCTGTTGTAGAAGGACGTCGCACTGCCCCCCGACTTGGTGGCCGTTGGTGAGGTAGGACCTTGTGTTGCCACCTTATCCGAGGCCAAAACTTTGATGTTGGGCCCACTACCAGTGCCTGGGGCTTCCGGCTCCTGCGAATCTTTAGTGGGCAACCGCTCAGGCAACTGATGAAAGTCACTCTCCTTGAACATGTTCGGTGTCTTCAGCTTCAGTTTGCCAATATAGCTGGAGGCTATGACATACAGATCAGGTCGTTTGGTCTTCTCCTCTTCGCGCACTTTGTCCACCTTCCGTTCAATGATCTGCGCCAGCTTGGCCAGCACGGGATAGTGTGGAAGTATACGCATGAGAATGATCAGTGCATTCCGTATCTGCATAAAGTCCTTCGAGTCTAGACAGAAAACAATGGCCTTGGTGATCTTATAGTGCCACTTGTGGCACACATGTCGATAGTTTTCGTAGCCCACGTGATCGTTGGCCTCTGAGAACTGATTGCTGACACGAAATTTGGTCACAAAGCCGGGATAATTGGCACACTCCTTGTTAAAAACGGCCTGATCGGCATGCCAGCGCATCACAGTCTCCAGCATGGCGCACAGAAAGCGGCCATAGCGTGTCGCCTCGCCCTCCGTGCAAGAGGTAACCGAGTAGGTAATGTCACAGAAAATCTACCCAAAATAACAAAGAGGAAATCAGAGCTGTATCCAGCTTCTAGCAGAGCTAGAGCTTCTAGAGCTTACCCGATCGTAGCACAGCAGGGTGGAAAAATTAGCCGTCTTTAGATTGTGGATGGTATGGACAAACTTTGCGCAATAGAGCGCATCCAGGGCAGTGAAAGTGCAGCGCGGAAACAGGCACAATTGCAGGAACTGCGTAATGGTATCGTTCTTGGCGGACTTGGCCGAACGCAGCAGGAACCAGCTGTCCCTCTGCTCTTGCAGACGCTGCTGTATCTTGTCGACATGCTCGTGTTGCTTCTTCCGCTCATCATTTAGCTTCTCCATCAAAGCAATGTATCGCTCTTGTTCTTTTTTATTCTTGGACTGGTTGGAGTCCTTGCCCTCGGCCGCCTGATGGGCCAATTGCTTGAGTTTTCCAATCTCACGCTGGTAGCTATCGTTGGGGACATGCAGATCGTACATGCTGAGGCTCCAGAAGGTCACCAAAAACTGCGGACTTATGTCCTCCCACACTTTGGCACTATGCAGCGGACGCACAGACTCCACAATGGGGTTCATGATGAGTTGTGTGGCGTCCAGATACTTTTGCATTTTCTGTGTGGTGGTCAGTTTTTTGGCATTCGGATCGGATTTACGCAATTGATCGTACTTTTGCTAAGGAAAACAGAGAGAAAAGATTAGATCCGTGCTCAAAAGAGCCAGTTCTTCCTCAGCTTACATTAATCTGATGTGTAAACATGGGCCTCGCCAGAAAGAATGCCACATCCGTATTGATGTGATACTCCCTTAGCATCGTTATGATCGATGGCAGTCGCTCCACATACTCATCCACCGAATAGGTGGAACCCAAAAAGGTGCCAAATTGCACTAGCGTGTCCTGGCACTGATCATAAAGATTCCCCACCAGCTTCAGATGACTATGCGCCGCCGTTTCACGATAGATCACACAATGCTTCTGCTGGGCCATCAGCAGACAAATGGCCACAGCCAGATCATTGTTGGCCAGGGCCTCCTTCAGCCGATTTGATGACTTCTTAGTGTTCCTCACTTGACTGAAATATCCCGCCTCGCCGCGCAGCTGTTCGCCCCCGCACAAGGCCTGCAGCTGTTCGTTGGTCATCTCCTCGCACGACTCCACGCCAGCCATCTTGTGCACAATCTCGCGTAGTATTAGCAGATCCAGGCTCTTCTGTGACTTCAATTGATTGGCCACATACTGCAGCAGGCCGCTCAATTCGATGCTGTATTTTTTGTAGATGGTCCCACAAAAGGAGGCCAGACTTTGCAGCCACAGGGAAAGCGAAGTGCCGTCGTCTTTGAACCTGCCACGACCCGTCAGAGTCAGCGATTCAATGATGCAATAGCCCAGGCAATCAAAGGACAGAGATGTCAGGAACTTCAACATGTCACAGACAGGTGCGATAAGGTTGTCGTACATCTGGATTTGCAGGAGAATCTATTCAGCAAAAAAAGGGTTTAAAACGACATACATTTTAACGATAGACTCATTAACTCTTTACGATGTTGCAATAGGCACGAAAAGCTCTTCTATGGTGGGAGATACCCCGCGTACCATCAATTAAATGGAATTTCTTTTTGTACTTACATAATCAAACATCAGTCCAGGAGCACAGTGACAGTACTTGCCCACCAGTCGACCCAATTGCTTTACATTTTCCTTGCTGACACGCTTCATCAGTCCCTTGATGTCGCGCATGGCCAAGCCACTGCGTCGTATCAGATTCGGATGCAGCTGGTAGCTATCGTTTTTCCATCGGGCATACAAACTGTATCGAAAATGATACGGGAAATACTTGAGCACAGCCCAAATCTCCTCGGACATGGAACAATTATTGTCCAAATACAGCAGCGATGGCAGTATGCACGAATCCATGCAGGTCATTATGTCGTAGTAATGCTTCTCCGCCTCTGAATTAGGCGGCGGGCCATTCATGCTGTCGACACCCATCTCCACAATTAGCTTGCTCATAATCCGTATCAGTTTGTACATTAGCACCGTGTCACAGTGCATCGCCGGGCCCAAAACATTAGCCATCGGCCACGTATACTTCCGCAGATCAACAAATTCACGGGCCTGCATCTTGGCCACCAGCTTGGCATCATCGTACAAACGATTGCGACTCTGTTTGCGGCCGGCGGGGGCTTTGAAGCATTTCTTGTAGTAGACATGCTCCACGGACAAATGAATCAGTTCGACAATGGCACGGGCAATGGGCTCTTGTATGACCACCGATTGTTCCGGCAGTTTTTGTATGATTCTGTGGGCATTCTCCCAGTCCCCCACCTTGAGCAGAGCCTCGCAGAGACCAAACTTTTGATTAAGATTGTACTTTTCCTCATCAAACCGCTTAACGGTTGGCGGCGGTGGTGGAGGCTCTTTGTCGTCTTCCTTTTTGTTGGTGGAGATCAGATTCAGTTTTCGCACCATTTCTCGGGCATCCGACAGCTCGTGCTCCCAGTTGGCCTTGATGCTGCCATCATTGGGGGTCAACCAGACGTAAACATCGTTCAGTTCAATCACCTCGTGCTTCAACAGCAGCGCGCACACATGGTACAGAGATCGGGGCGTACGAGAGTCCTTAAAATGGCAGAACTTGTAGCCGAGTACTTCACAAATAATGGCACCCGTGGGCATATAGCTGCGCAGCAAGGGTATAAACAATTGCCAACGATCCGGGCGGGTTTCAAACGATTCAATTATGATATCCAGCACGCGGTTGGGATCCAGATTGAAGCAACCTTTGCAGGGGATTAGCGTTTTAGTACAGTCTATATATATATACATAGATCAATGGATGTTCAATCCTACCTATCAGCGATTTTATAATGTCCATAATGCTCTCGGGAGTGGTGCTCTCCTCAAAGTCCTGATTCAGCTCGGTTATTAGCTTGGCAAAGCCTTCGCTTTCCTCGCGGAATAGATTAAAGCGTCGCTGCTTGTAGCTGTAGCAAAAATAAATATATTGGATAGTACATTTTTCCCAAAGAAATCTCATATTTTTGTTATTACTTACTACAACTTGGTTTTGACCTTGATGAACTTGGAGTAGAAACCCTTGTTCTTCACAATCCCCACCTCCTGCAGCGTATCAATCTCCAGGCGCTCTTTGAGCAAACTCTCTGGCACCACCTTGTCCATATCCTTGACGAGCTGCACAAAACCATGACGCTCCTCTTGCAGGCCCTCTGTCATAAGGGAAGTCTCGCTGTCCAAAATATTGACCACATCCACAATGAGACTAGGGAAATCCTTATGTATGGCCTGGAATATATATATGGTTTATATTAATAGAAGATCCTTTTACAGATCGATTTATTAGCTTACCACAACTTCTGTGAGCAGATGAAGAATAAGATCCTTCTTGTGGGTGAAGCGCAATGCTTGCCAGAGCAGCTCGTATATGGCATTCGAGACGCCCTGCCTGAAGACTCCATTCTGATCGTATACGGGACTGTCGGCACTTTCTTGCAGCTGTTGTTTGAGGTATTTCAAACTAAAACGAAATGTTCAATATGCAGGCTACAGTAAACGGGGAAGACTACATCAGCATCCGACGCGCGCGCGGATTACGTGTGGTGCCTGCTTGGCTGTTTGTTTGTATCTATCTATCTATCGTTGTGGTAGAAGGCATTAAACACGTACAATTCACTTCTGCCGGCCTTGTCGAAATGCTTAAATATATCTGGATTCAGGACACTGCCTGCGCCGGACCCTCCATTTGTGTCGGACGCCGTCGAAGCAGCCGCTACCGTCGCCGTCTCCATTGCCGTCGTCGCACTGCTGCCATCGCTCTCCGGTGTAACCGTCACGCTGTGACTCTTCGACAATTTCTTCAAGCGCCGCATAAAAACTGTTTTATGTTACACGCAGTCAATATGCTGCTCAATGCTTTTTAAACAATTTTTCGTTGTATTTTTGATATTTTTAATAAATTTTCACACTTTTCATTTGCCTTCGCTAGTGATGTGTGTGTGATATCGATAACGATAGATATGTTTGTCGCATGGCTACTATGTTTCATTTGGATTGGGATGTTCTGGAAATGGAACATCAGTAAGCCCAATATTCCAGTTTTAAGGGGCCGCTATGAACTTCGGGTTTACGGAAAACTTAATTTTCAGTATTTCGTGTTAATTTTTTAAATATATACAAAATTTGGTTCTCGACGGGGCTGTTCGGCTTCAAGCGAGAAATTTAATAGGTCAGTAAATTTTGTATACAAAATGAAATCTGCTAATACACATGAATCAGTTGCCGATGAGGGGGATTGTAGTAGGAAAGCAAAACAAACCGCGCATCTCTCTCAACTTTGCTCGAATTTGTCATGACAGATGGGAAAAACCGCTGAATATGTTATACAGCCAGGCTCCGGTTTTCACTTTCACAAAAGTTATTCGATTTACTTTTGAATTACCATACATAAATTAGTGCTCCCGTTTTCACATTCCGCAAGATTTCTTCGTTTTCAAAACGAAATAAACAAGCAAACGGCTTTTCATACAACAAAACGAATGTTAATTGCACTAACATAAATTTGACACCATTACCAGGAAATTTAGCTTATTCCTTCTGTTTATAATAATTTTTTCTCAACACAACCTCAAATTTGGTCCTAAAATAATTGGTGAGGGCATTTTCGTTTTGGTAAAAACAGCTGATCCAGTCTGATTTGATTACCGGAACGTTGGCAAGAAATACATTTTTGCACATAACAGCACAGACTGTTCTCGTAACGGAGCACCTGCAGCCTATTATGCAACCAATAAATTTTTTGACCATTAGCAATTTAATTTTCTGTTACATGCTCTTACTCACAGCTTGTCAGACATGTTAAATACAGAAGTGTCGTATCGAATATGTCTTGCTCTTCTTAATTCACGCACTTTCTAAAGTCGTTTTGCTACAAAACAAGCAATTGAAAAAAAGAAAACGCATTTTTATGATGCTGTTTATTTAGCAAGCAACCAGGTCAGCTGGTATTGTGTGTCAGAATCGATGCGAAAGTGAAACATATCGACACCAGCCAAGTGGAATCGTTTCATTCTGACTATTCTTGATGCGATCTGAGCCAAATGTTGCAACCTGCGTTTTCAGACAAAACGTTCCGTTTTCGTTTTCAGGTGCTCCCGATTTCCCACATTATTTTCATGGATATTTTTGATTTTCTCAACAGTAGACCTGGTTGTTTCCTAAAAATACAGCATGCCAAAAAGGTCTTTTGTTTTTTCAATTGCTTGAAAGCGACGGCAGAAAACGCGCTATTAAGGAAGATCAAGACTTCCTAACAGTAACAGCAATATTTGGAAAATTAAATTGGTAATGGAACGTTATGGGTAAAATCTAAGCGCTTCCACCGAGCTGCCCCAGCAGTTAGCACGAAAACGTAAAGTTTTTTTCCGTTGACTTTTAATTTTCTTTTTGAAAGCGAAAGAATCTTTCGTTTTATAAAAACGGGAGCACCAATTTTTTTCGTTTTCAAAAGTAAATACGAACATTTTTGCCAAACTGAAACCAGGAGCCTGCCTGAATGTTTAATTTTGCCTATTGCGCTAACAAACGCACTACAAACATGAGAAAGTATGCCTGTCGATCGCTGCGATCGGCGGAAGCACTTCGTACGTGTAAATGTAACGTAAATGTATAAATTTACCTAAATCTAATATACCCCTACACTCTTTGAGTCATAGGTACACAAAATTTGAAATTTTGCAGTTTTTGTAAGCGGCATTTCAGAACAGCGTGTTAACCCATTGCTGGCTTATATAAAGATGTGCTGCTTTAGGTGTTTTTAAAAATGATCAAACTTCTGTCCCTACTTTTTATCGAATTTTCGTCGATGCGTGTCCGATCCCATTCCATAAAGCGTGGCTCGTCACAGCTGTTTTTACACGTGAATGACTCTCTCCTTTCCTGTGTGGCGTTGCGTACACTTGAAAAGAGCCTACTCTATCACGATTTAAACTCTTATTTTTTCGCCACGTTGTTTTTTTTCCTTTTTGTTGATGGAACTTTTTAATCGATATTGTCAATTTTTTGTCTATGATCATATTCCACTACACTAAATAAAAAATAATAAAGATAGCCGAATAAATAATACGATTTGGCGAGTTTTTCATTTTTTGCCGAATTTTTTCCATGATATGCAATAAAGAGAGCGCAGCACCACCCCCTACCTGTCCTGTCCTTTGTTTAGCGTGTTTCACTTTTTTCATAAAGATACTTGTCCATATACATATATAACTTAATTACCGAGGAGCATCTTAATGTCGAGACCCATGTGCCTCGACAAAAACGTTCCGCATATTTATTATTACACATTTATTATTACCCCATATTAATTGATGAATATTGATATGCAGTGCATGTTAGATATTACTAAAAATTCTCAAATGATTTTATTACTTAACTTTTTACATAGAATTTATCAGAATTAAGTACACCCATTGTGCTAGATGTTGTAGATGGTAGTAGGATCCCATATCGAAAAACACGATTTTGTTGGGGCATTATCTATCTGCAACCATTATATTTTGTGAAAAATAGGGGCATAATAATTACAAGAATGTGTGTGTAGCAAAGTTCTATAGTATGAATCGATGTAGAAATGTTCACTCGAGTCTTATGTATACAATATGAATGTAAAAATAGTAAATTAAATTTCAATCAAGCGCATTTTGTCTATGCTCTATGTAAAGTTATATTTTCTTTTCAGCTCACCGGCTATAGTTTCTCCTAATGAGCAACGCATTCGTGTAATAAAGACTAAAATTACACGTCTATGAACCTTAAAGCAAAGGTTCGTTTTCTATCTTAACATCGCACTCGACCATCGAACTGTCTACATAGCCGTTCAGGTAGCTTAGAAATTTTTCTGGAGCTGACTGCAGCTGGTGCTGGGATGATCGCTGCGTGACTGGAGCTGGCGTTAGCTTTGGCATGGCTGCAGGCGAGTATTGCGGCCTGGGGGGCGGATCGGGGCGTACAGGCGTAGTCTCTTCCTTTTTTAGTTCCACCAGAATGCGGCTGACTTCCATGCGAAATTTGAGATTGCCCATGTCCGAGAGGGACTTCATGTGCGGCATAAGGCTAAGAAGAAAATTATAGTCAGCATCGTCCTTGGCTTGGACAAGTTCCTTGCTGGCCGCTGGCGTTGTGTCCACAACATTTGTTTTTTTCATTTGACTATTCTTTGTGTTGTTGTTGTTGTTGTTGTGGAAATGGCCCCCATTCGTTATGGGGTCTTCATAGGAAGGCGAACTCTTTCGCTGACAACAGCGCTTCGTTGGCGGCGGCTTGTACAGTTCCATGTCCAGGCACCTCATAAACGACGCACCGGACTCAAAGTCCGTCCGCTTCATCAGCGACATATCGGAGCTCGAGTCCTGCTGCTCGGGCGAGTCACGTTTGAATATGTCGCCCATTATCTCAAAGTCCACCGAATCATCATTGTCCAGATCGATGATAAAGTCATCCAGATGCGTCTGATCATAGTCGTTGGAGCTCTCTGCCGACTCAAAATCGAACTCGAAATGCTCTGGAGCGAATCCCACGAGGCCGGTGGGATCGAATATGCAGCGCAGGAACTCCAAGGGGCGAAAGTATGTCCAGTTGGACATTTGGATGCGACCCTGCTGTATCTTTCGAATCTCGGATCGGTAGCTGTCCCTCAGTCCTTTGAAGCGCTTCTTGCATGCCGTAACTGCAGGAAGACAAGAATGCAAGGCATGGGTACTAATATAATATGTGACGAGCACCACCACTTACCGTCCAGCTGCAATGTTTCAGATACATCCAGCCACTGCGAGGTCCATTCGTCCTTGCGGCTGGCAAGGGCGATGTTTGTATCCCACAGTGCACGCCGCGGTCGTACCTCCGCAATGAGGCGAAGTACGTCCTTCTTCATTGGAATATACAGCTTGGCTTTGCTAAAAAACACCTCTCGCGGAACGAAAAAAAGTTCGTGGCGTGTAAACAAATGCGTTGCCAAGCCCAGCGACGACTTGCAATAAACCAACAGCACAGCAACAACAACAGCAAATGCGGCAGCGCACGTATGTACAGCACTTTGTGCCAACACTCAGATTAATTTAGTTGAACGATTTTCTTGTTAAAATCGAAATTTCGATTGGAATTTAGCAAGAGATTCTGCATTTTTCTGTCCACATCGCGCTTCTCTTTTTCTGTACAACAGCTGGCAACTCTGATGTCAACAGCTGGAACAGCGTGAATCAGATGCATGTGTGTGCGGTACGGAACAGTGGAAACCAAACGAAACACTGCAACAAAGCGAAAAACAATTGTGCACAGCCGGCTGTTTGATTAATCATTCATATTCAATTTAATAATGATGTCCAACCCAGGGGGGGAGTCTAAGAATGATGACCTGCCGGCAAATACCCTGGAACTATTCACAGAGCTGGACCAGGTGCTGCAAATGATCGAAAATATCAAATCAATCGATGACGGCTCTTTTGAAAGGGAATTTGAAAACTACGCCCAAGTGCTGTCCCGCTACCAAGAGCAACCGCATTTGCTAGATCCCCATCTAGAGCTGCTGCTGGGTCGCTTGCTGGACAAGATTCGGCTGCAGCAGGCGCCGCCGGGTGAACGTGATGCAGCCTTCAAGTATCTGTACATAATTTGCAAAGTACGCACATATAAAGTTCTGGTAAAGTTTATGCCCCACGAGCTGAGCGATCTGGAGTTTGTGCTGGATCTGTTGGGCCAACAGGATCCAACTGAATTTGAGAAATGGGAGACCCGATACATACTCCTACTCTGGATGTCCATTGTGGTCCTGAATCCCTTTCATATGTCACGACTGGATGCATATGAAACGTCGCCCAGTGTCGCCCTCAACTGCGTGCTGGCCAACAATGTTGAGTCCCACAAATCCACCAAAATGGAGCGCATCTTTGAGCTATGCAAGCTGTATGTCTCCACCAACGACACGTGCAGCAGCATGGCCGCCTATCTGGCCGCCAAGTTTTTCGTACGCATCGACATCAAGGATCTGTATTTGGAGCGTTTTCTCGACTGGATCATTGGCCAGCATCAGGCGGACACAATGAATGTTAAATTTGGCCAACTGGCCGCCGTTGCGGCCATTCTGAAGCATGGCAAGCGTGAGGATTTGCTGCCCTATGCGGACAAGCTCCTGCACTGGATAACATCCTGCCAGTACAAGGAGGGCAATGATTTTCTCAAGTACAAGTTCTATGTGAAAATTGTCCAGAGATTGGGCCTGGTGCACTTAAAGCCACGCATTGCCAGCTGGCGCTACAAAAGAGGTGAGTGGAGCAGTCCGACAGTAAAGATTCGTTTCCCAAAAACATATTTTTTTCAGGCACACGTTCGTTGGCCACAAATCTCAATCAGCATCCGGGTGCGGCTGGCGCTCAGTCGACTGCTGCTCTCGATGGCGCCGATGGGGATGCTGGAGAGGAAATTGTTGTTCCTGATGCCATTGAGGAAGTTATTGAGGAGCTGCTCCAGGGCCTGCGCAGTGGCGGCAACGACATTCGATGGAGTGCCGCCAAGGGCTTGGGCCGGGTGACCAATCGACTGCCCAAAGAGCTGGCCGACGAGGTGATTGGCTCTGTGATTGATATACTAAACCCCCTGGAGCCGCACGAGGCTTGGCATGGCGGCTGTTTGGCTTTGGCCGAGCTAGCCAAACGTGGTCTGCTGCTGCCCCATCGTCTCGAGGAGCTGGTGCCGCTGCTCATGCAGGCCTTGTTCTATGACGAAATGAAGGGCTACATGTCCGTGGGTCAGCATATACGCGATGCCGCCTGCTACATGTGCTGGGCCTTTGCTCGTGCCTACAATCCCGATGATGTCAAGCCGTTTGTCCAGAAGATCTCCTCAGGCCTGCTCACGGTGGCGGTGTTTGATCGCGAAGTAAACTGCCGCAGAGCTGCTTCAGCCGCTTTCCAAGAAAGCGTTGGCCGTTTGGGCAACTTTCCCTTTGGCATCGAGATCTCGGTAACCACGGACTTTTTCTCTGTGGGAATACGCCAGAATTCCTATCTGAATATCAGCGATTTCATAGCACAATACGAGGTATATCGCGAGCCACTAATCACTCATCTGGTGCAGCACAAAGTGGGCCACTGGGATCCGGCCATACGCGAACTAACAGCCAAGGCGCTGCACAAACTAACGCTGTGGGAGCCAGAGTATATGGCGGCCGTTGTGCTGCCTCAACTCCTGGCCAAAACGGACACCATCGACATCAACAGTCGGCATGGTTGTGTCCTGGCCATGGGTGAAATCACCCTGGCCGTCCGCAAGCTGGAAATGGCCAGTGATCCAGCCATTGTGTATATCTCCAATCAACGGATTGTGGAGCTGAACGAGCTGCTAAAGAATTTCCTCATGAAGAACTATTACCGCGGTATGAGCGGGGAGCTGCTGAAATCCAGCACAGCTGATTTCATACGCAACTGCAGTCTGGCCAAGCTGCAGGTGACGCCTGATTGCCTGCGTAAGTCCATTATAATATATAAATCCCTATCTATCTAAAATGGCATCCTTTTAGTCTCCTGGCAAACGGTCATTGATTTCTGTTTGGTGACCAAAAACCCTGTCATACGAGCCTCTGGTGTGGAGGCCTTTGCCGAGCTGTGTCGTTCCTACTACTGTGTGGATAGTCGCAGCGACCAGAACGAGGCCATCATCAGGTCGTATCTTAAGGGCGCCGAAAACGATCTGGACGAGCACATACGCATGGGCTATATAGCAGCTTTGGGGGTACTGCCCTCGTTTATGCTGAGCCCTCATCTGTCCCCTGTGCTGGAGAGTTTAGTAAAGCACTCGCTGACACCGCTGCAGGCCGTCCTGGCCGGGGATGTGGGGCAGCAGGAGGAGCATATCCAGACCTACCGGTGGAGCGAGGCGCGCATGGAAAGCATCAAAGCCTTAACAAAGGTGGTCAAAACTGTGGGCTACGAAGGAACTATTGGTCTGTCGGTATGCCGCCCTTTTATTCTGCAGATTATAATCCCCCCTTCCCTGCCTTTAGATACCTTTTCAGAGCATGGAAATTTCAACAAAGTAATCGCTTGCCTGCTGCGAGCCCTGGATGAATATACCCTGGACAATCGTGGCGATATTGGAGCCTGGGTGCGTGAGGCATCCATGTCATCGCTCTACCAGATAGTAACCCAGTGTCCACCGGCTATGCTAACGGCCACGCATGTCCATGAGATTGTCGTGGGCTTCATGCAGCAGGCGGTGGAGAAAATCGATCGTACGCGTGGCCTGGCCGGACGTCTCTGTTGCCAGCTAATCCATGCTGAGCCACGCATCCCCCATATACGAGAGCATGCGAAACTCATTGAGATATTCCCCACGGATGTGAATTCTGTTCTCTGGCTCTTTGCCGATCATACATTCCCCTTGTTCTGCCAGCTGTTGGGCCTGCCGGATTACTCCAAGCGTGTCCTGTTGGGTCTAACCGCCAGCATTGGGCAGCTGACTGAATCTCTGGTGAGTCCGATCACTAACTGGTCCCAGAGGAATTCATATTGATTGCTCTCTTTCTTTTGGGTGCAGATCAAATATGCTTCAACGGCTTTATTCCAATTTTTACGTTCCAATCCCACGATGGTGCCGCGTCTGTGCAAGGAGATTGTGGAGATCTTCCAGGAGAATCTCTTGAACGAGCGCGTGACCTATCCAATGTTGAGTTTCCTGGACATACTCATTGGTTCCGGCACCACTGACATGGTCCTGCATGACGAATCGAATTCCTTTGTCGAGGACATCTATCGCCTGCTCAATCTGGAGGTCAAGGGCTACAAGAAGTTGTACAAGACAGCCAGCAGCATAGGTGCCTTTTGCCAGCTCATCCAAGTGCCGCGCCTCAGCAAGCGTGTGCTCTCCAAACTGTCAGTATTCTTGGGCCTGCAGCATGTCCATGTCCGCAAAACTGCCGCCACCAAGCTCTACGAAGCATTGGCCCTGCATGGCGATGTTACCGATATACCCGAGGATAATATGGATGAAATCCTGCCAATCCTCTCGGAGACAGACTGGACTATGCCCCTGGTGGAGGCGCGTCCGTTGCGGAATCAGCTATGCCATTTGATGGGCATCAAGCCACCAGTTAGTGGTGCAGCAGCAGCTGTAGCTGCCGCCTCTGAAGCAGCAGATAAATGAATTTCGACAAATGTTTAACATATTTATTATCCTTGTGTATTAAATACTTTTACTAATATACATTTTGGATCCAACAGAAAAAAGAAACGCAGTAGCAAATTATTTCAAAATTGTAATACTTATAGCTAAGCCTCAGGAGGTTTCCCCTTGATTTGAGGAACAACTATGGCCATAAATATGGGCATATTTCAGAAACAGCGTAAGCCTCGTAGCCAGTGCGTACTCTTTGTCCTTATTTCAAAGAATTGATATCGGGATCAAGATATACAGGAATCAAATCCATGAATACGTCTAAGACATATCTATTTGAGAAAATGTATTTATTAATTACGTTTAAAAAAGTTTGCAAAACAGTACCTTTAAATAAAATTAACGGAATAGGGTATACAAATGGCCATACACCAGCAACATTGACAACATTGCGACTGGTTTTTTGCTGAACTTTTTTGTTTAAATAATAGGAAGGACTATCCTCTTTCTTTTTTTTTTGTAAACCATTTTCGCTACAACCAAGTATTTAAAATAAATCAGTCAATTAGAAAATAGGTTCATTATTTGGATACAATTATGTGGGCATGGCTGAGAGTTTTATCTAGCTAGTAATGTTCGACGAAATATCAAAATCGGAGGATATGGTTTCCAATCCTTGACAGCGAACGATTAACCCATTGCAAACCAAGGGGGTATTTTAATATTCCACCGAAAATAATGAAAATTGATTGCAGCGGAGTTCATGTGAAAGATATCGTGTTTTTTTATTAAGTTCAGATGAAAGATGGCATGGATGTACAAGAGGAATTTACAATCGTTAATATTTTCCGCCGTTTACCTCAAGTAGTTAACTATTTAAATGAGGGGGCCTATTTCGTTTTTCATCATACGAGACGCTATATTGTTGTCACGTAGAAAATTGGTTCATTAATTGGATCAAATTATGTGGGCAGGGCTGAGATATAAGAAAGATAATATTCGACGGAATATCGAAAACGAGGAATATGTATAATGGAATTTGAATTCGTCAGTATATTTACGGTATATTAAAATGTGACAGTATATTTCGGTATATTTCTGAGGGTCAGACCGTAGACATGTTTGACTAAAAAACGCAATAAATAATAATAATAATAAAACATAGCAAACATAGTAAAAATACATTTGAAACAAATATCAATAAAAGCACCACTGATTTCACAGGGACATAGAATTATTTTGTATTTCTGTTATTACAGATTGTTAGTACATATCACACACAGTTACACAATTTAAATCTTACTGTGAAATCTGTGGGCCTGTTTCTATTCTGGTAAATCTGTGCCCTTCTCAATAATATCAATGATGAGTCTATGGACGGTGATGTACAGCGCGATCCGGCGTGCCCATATACTGGCCAGAAAGAGAACCATAGTGCAGCCATCATACCAACATGCCGCGCCGGTATTTGGTGAGTGTGTGAGGTTATGTGCCTTGTCGAATGATTCTTCATGTTTTTATCATATCTTCCTCCTCGTTCGCAGATCTGCAACGGTCATGTCATGGAAAATTATATGAAATGGTAAAAAAGCGCTCGCTTGACGCACGCACTAAAGCTCATGCTCAGAAAAATCCGAATCAAAAAGTTTGTGTCCGAACAGGCATGGAGGAGGAGGTGGAATACGATACCGATGTTATAGATTGTCCTCCTTCTCGTCCACAACCACCGCCTCCGCGTCAATTTCAAGCCAAATATCAAGATTATAGCCAGGCGGCTGATCATAAGTTCCCAGGGGTACCGCTGCCACACTTCATCAATCGTTCACCAATCCACTCAATACCGAGAAACTTATTTAAAATCTCGTTTCCTCCCCATTCCAGGCCCCTGCGAACAGCAGCAAGTACATGCCCACGGCCAAGCAGGTATTCTTCAAGTCAGTAAAATATGACACCAGCACTTCTGGGACACTATTGGATTGGCAAAAACAATCGGACATTGATAAACACATGAGCAAGGATCCTTGTCGGCTGATGACCAAAGAGCCCGGTAAGCAGCCAGCCGAGGATCCTTGTGAGCAGTTTAAGCGAATGCGTTTAAAAAACGATCCGAAACAATGTCCGCCCAGTGGATCAGCAGCTCCAGACGGTGGTGATGGCTGCAACGGTAAGGATAGTGGAGACCCAAACAAATCTCTGAAATTAACATGCCTATTGGGTGCCTTGGCCGCAATGGTGGCTGGTGGACTGGTAAGTCTTAATCCTATCAAGGACTTATCAAAAATATCAATATATTGGTTGTTACTCTTCAATGTTAAAGATTGCCTGGTTTCTGGCGAGTACAAAAAACGACGATAACAAAGGAGCCGGCGGTGGGAGTGACGGTGACAATAATTCGGCAGACGCTAAACGCGGCGTATCAGGACTTGTAACAAGTGAGAATGGAAACCACTCTTCTTTATTTAAGGGATGAGCTCATCGAAACTCAAAATTATACTTTGGATACAGGTCCCGACAGCTCTGAGAAGCTACCCAAACATGTGCCTTATTTGATCATTGGCGGTGGCACAGCCGCCTTCTCTGCCTTCCGTTCCATCAAGTCGAACGATGCCAAGGCCAAGGTCCTGATTGTTAGTAATGAATACCACAAGCCCTATATGCGTCCACCCCTATCCAAGGAACTGTGGTATACGCCCAATACCAACGAAAAAACCAACAAGGATTACCGCTTTAAACAATGGGCTGGCTCCGAAAGAAGGTCAGTAACACAGTACTTATCTTCTCTTCAGACTCTAAGCTCTTGTTTCTCTCTGCAGCTTGTTCTTTGAACCGGATGAGTTTTTTGTGGATCCCGAAAAGCTTGAGGAGAGTGTAAATGGTGGTATAGCCGTCGCACAAGGATTCTCAGTGCAGAAGGTGGATGCCCAGAATCACACTGTGACATTGAACGACGGCTATAAGATCACTTACGATGAGTGCCTCATTGCTACGGGCTGTGCCCCCAAAAATCTGCCCATGTTCCGGGACGCAGCGCCCAGCGTGCGCGAGAAGGTGATGGTGTATCGCACACCCGATGACTTTGATCGCCTGCTACGCTATGCCGCCGAGAAGCGTTCGATTACGATTGTGGGAAATGGATTCATTGGCAGCGAGCTGGCCTGCTCTCTGGCCCACTACTCGAAGGAGAATGACGGTGGCAAGATCTATCAGGTCTTCCAGGAGAGCGGCAACATGTCCAAGGTCCTCCCCAACTATCTGAGTCGCTGGACCATGGCGAAGATGAAGAATCAGGGTGTGTGCGTCATCCCGAATGCCAGCATCAAGTCGGCCACCAGAGACGAGGAGTCGCTCAAATTGGAACTGAACAATGGCATGACACTGCTATCCGATATTGTGGTGGTATGTGTGGGCTGTTCGCCCAACACAAATCTAGCGTCGCCCAGCAAACTGGAGGTGGATCGCACCCTGGGCGGTTTTGTGGTCAATGCAGAACTGGAGGCACGCCGGAATCTGTATGTGGCTGGCGATGCTTCTTGCTTTTATGATCCTTTGTTGGGCCGGCGACGAGTTGAACATCATGATCATTCGGTGGTCTCTGGCAAATTGGCAGGAGAGAATATGACAGGAGCAAGTAAGTGTCTACGCTCTCAATATTTTTGAGAAAACACTGTTTCATTAAAATTCTTGTGCATTTCCATCCACAGAGAAACCCTATGTGCATCAGAGCATGTTCTGGTCAGATTTGGGTCCTGAAATTGGCTACGAGGGCATTGGCTTGGCTGACTCTTCTCTTCCCACCGTGGGCATCTTTGCCCTGCCCTCAGCAACCGACGCACGATCGAGCACAGACAACTTGACCGTAAATCGAGAGGAAGACGATGGCAGCAAGCATACGATTATAGTTGATGAAAAATCAAATTCAGATGTGGTCACCTGGGATGATGATGCCCATGGTGAGCAGCCGGACTACGGCCGGGGTGTGATCTTCTATTTAAAGAATGAAAAGATTGTTGGCGTTCTCATGTGGAACCTCTTTAGCCGCGTAGGCTTAGCTAGGACGATAATTAATCAAAATAAGAAGTACGATGACCTCAATGAGGTCGCCAAGTTGTTTGAAATCCACTCTTAGTAGTGGATCTTCCTCCCATTACCACCACCCCATTTTTCGTTTTTTTTGAATCCCGCTTTAGTCAATCACTCGTCGAATAACGTATATGCACATAGATGATGACCATATAGATAAATATCTTACGAACGTATATGTAAGTGATATGACGAGGACATGTGTTGAACTTTTGTGTGTGTTTTCCATAATAAATTATCCTTTAAAATGTTATATATACCTGTTCGTAATACTGGCAGCTGGAGAGAGGACTCGTACCTAAATCCGCGGGGCCATCTGCTTATTAGGGGTCTGCTCGGGATTAGCAAATTGGTAGGTAGATCTCTAATAAGCAAAGGTCCCGCGGATTTACCCAATCGGTAGGTAGATTATCTGTATCCATCAGGTACATCCTTTTGGCCTATAAAAGCCTTGCCCTAAATGCCAATGGACATCAGTTCCTTGCCAGCCAGCAACCATGAAGTACCACCGTGTGATGAACAAACGAAAGAGCAACCAGACCCCATCGCCAGCCAGGGAATCCGAAGTGAATATCCACAAACAGGATTTTGATGGCCGCATCTCGTATGGTGCTTTGGAAATGGAGGCTGCTGCCGCTCTGCTCATGTTGCGCTATCAGTACGATAGGCAGTCGGTGCCAATGCCCTCCACCGCTGTAACACGTTCGCCCACACCGCCGCAGCATATCGCCGACAAATTGACGCCCAAGGATCAGGCTGTGCGCACTCCCGACTCTGCTCAGCCTATCAAGAAGCGTTCTATTCCCAACCATCTGCTGAGACGCTCTTTGACTCCAGCCAAATCTACTACCAATGCAGGAGGATCATCATCGATAGTGAAAGCCAAGTCCCGATTGACGCCTGTGCCCCGCCGTAGTGAAAATGACTGCAATAAAGTTCTGCTCAAGTCCTGCCGCAATATGATACGCGAGTTTTTGGACAATCAGGAACTTATCTAGGGAGGAGAGGACGATGATGATCCATAGGATCTTCCAGTGTGTATATCATTTTTCATTTATTTATTACATATAAATTTGTTTCCGTTTTCTTGAATATTTTTTTAATACATATAAATTGTATATGTACCTATTGATCGAAAGATATACTCGGTAAAGGTTTTTGCAAATGGAAGAACAGGTATTGTGGCGACACTAGAGTGCTAATTATTAGCTATTGGCGGTGTTTAAACTTAATGCGTAAGCGAAAAAACAGATAAAAAATATATATATATATATCGTATGTACGAAAATTAGATGTACTATAAGATCTATGCAATAATTAATAATAATTACAGGCACTAAAAGCTAAGTTGGATGAGCGTGTGTGTGGTGTGGGGTTGATGGTCTGCGCCTCTCCATTCCATGACATTTCATTTATGTTTTGCATTTAATATAATTAATAAAGTGTGCTTCAAAATGTACAAAATTTCTATTGTTTTTTATGGTTTGTATGGGGCGACGTGCAGTTGTTTTACAAACTAAAATTGTTAATGCTTAAATGAACACTTCTGCTTTTTGCTGCGATTCCACACATCTTTCCGTGAGGGCGCAGCCGCTTAGAAAACTAACATACAAATTATATAATAATAATAATAATCGTATGAATAATGTTTTAATTGAAAACTAAATGTGTATATGCTCGTAATCATTGCTATAAAAATGGAAGCCAATGTTTTTTTTCTTCTTCATGTTCTTGTATCTAAGGGCTAAGGGGTTTTCTCCAATTGAAATTGAATTTTGAAAGCTCTCTGTTTGCAGCTGTCGAGAGAGGCAGGCAGGCAGCAGGAGAGGCCGCCAGGGAGAAACAGAACGGAGAAACTGTTTCAGTTTCCACACCATGGATCCCATAGCTCCTGGATCTCTCCTGTGGCTGCATACTCCTCCTTCTGTGCTCTCCTCTTCTCCAGCCAATGAATCTGTTATCACAAGAAATCAATCTCTCTCTCTTCTCTTCTCGCTGATTATTTTTTGTATATCAATTAACAATTTTCTTTCCTTTCTTTCATATTTCGTATCGTATTTTTAACAATTGTTTTTTGTGTTTGTTTTTCGTTTTCATAAATTTGAAACCATTTTGTTGAGGCAACATTTGTAAAGCTCAAAGGTGGCAACACTTACTCGCTAAGGGGCGGCGCTACTCTCGCTACACGCTACTCGTATGATTGTTGTTGATGCTTGGGGGGTCGGGGCGTGTGATAACTTATAATTTAATTCTGATTTAATGTAGAAATTGGCACATAATCAAAGGCTGCGCTGCGCCGTGTTTTTTTTTTTGTTTTTTCAAGAACTCTACTTACAACAAAACGAAATTACATTCACTCTCGCTCACTCACTCCATTTCTCCTCTCTCTCTCGTTAGATTAGCTTAATAAATAATTTGATGTATAAAATATATATATATTGATGCAAATGTTTTTATCTATGTACAAAAGGCAACCACATCCAGCTAGGGGGCGGGCATAGGGGTGTGTTTATGTGTGTGCTGGTCCCATTTTTAGCTCAGGTAATGTTTGTGGGGGGAAAGGCAATGATGGGGGTGCTACTCCTACTGCCGCATATGCCTAAACGCGGCTAACGCCTCCTCGGACACCTCAACACTGCCATTGCAATCACTGCTGTCCATAGGCACAGGCTGGGCCTGATCGCTCGCTTCCATGGGCTTTGGCGAGTTGGAACCAGCGGGCAACTGTTGCTGTTGCTGCTGCTGCTGCTGCTCCTCCGGCTTGGGTGACTGCTCTGCGGGCGAGGGCGCCGACTGATGATCGTTGTAGCGTATCAGCTTGATGGTCGTCAATCCATCGGCATTGCGAATGAGCCTGCAGATGGAGATGATGCTTGGTATTAGGAGGCAACAGAAGCGCGTAGGCGGGGGGCCACTTACGGATAGCAGTCCTCGTTGCTGGCAGCTGCGGCGGCGGCACTCTTGCCGCTGACACTCAGATCCGTGGGCTTCAGGTCCTCTCCGGCGCTGTCCGATCCCGAGCTTCCCCCACCATTCTCCAGCTTCAGTGGATGGAATTGAAACTTGTCCGGCCCTGCGGCACCGGGCGTTTGCAGCGCTGGGGAATTGGGTGGCGCTCCTGCAGCGGCCGCCGTCGCGGACAGGTAATGGAAGGCTCCGTTGATGGCGTGCATGAAGAGCGGCGATGTGGGTGGCGGTCCATAGGCGGCAGCTGCTGCTGCAGCCACTGCTGCCACAGCGGGCAGACTCATGGGACCATTACGGGAGGCAGGACGCTGGGGGGATTGCTGTTGCTGTTGTTGTTGCTGCTGCTGTTGTTGCTGCTGCTGCTGGCTCCAGTTCTGGACCGCTGCGGGGCTGCTGGGCGCTGGATTTCCATTGCCCTGGGTCATCCCTTGTGCTCCTCCATTGCCAGCACCCGCTGCAGGGGTGGACTGCCGCAGAAGCGATATATTCTTAATGTTCTTCAGTTCCGTGGGATTCCTCAGAAACTGATAGCAATGACGTTCGCCCTGTACTTTGCGCAGGATATTAACGCGATAGTAGTACCGCAGGGCGCGCGACATCTTGTCGTAGTTCATGGATAGATGGTTCTTCTGGATGCCCCACAGCTTGGCCAGCCCAGCGGGATCCACAATCTTGAAGACGCCCGTGTCGCGGCACTTCCAGGCAATCAGATCGCTGTACTTTTGATTGCGATCGTTCAGCAGTTGCTGCAGAAAGTCCCACAAGAGGCGACCATCTAGAAAAGGAGCGAAAAGTGTGTTAGGAATGGATTTTGGATTTTGATCACTGCAATGTGCCACTCACTTGTATTGGGCTCAGAGTTCTCTGGAAAGAATTCCCTTTTCGCTTTGTACATATAACTGGGCGTTGTCGGGGCGGAAATGGATCCTCCGGCGGGTGCCACCACTGGTCCGGCTGTGTTGTCCAGCGTCAGCTTTTGGGGCTGCTGCTGTTGCACCGCCTGCATCTGCTGCTGCTGTTGTTGTTGCTGCTGCTGCTGCTGCTGGGACCACGAGTTGACAAAACTATTCGTCAGCTGCTGCGTCCAATTGGGTTTAATGTCCTTCAGTATGGGCGTGCTTGGGGGACTGGCCGTACTGTAGGAGAGCGGCGCTGGTGGCATGCCGGTGGCCATTTTTGGCTCGGAAACAGAGTACTCTTCCTCGGAGTCGCTGTGATTGCTGCTGGCACTGCTGATCCCCTTCATGGGCATGGCCGATCCATTGCTGGCCGTGCTGCTGCCAGAGCTGGAAGAGGCCGGCGCCGACGGTCCGCTGTTTGAAGTTCCCACACTGCTAGATCCGCCATTGGATGTGTGTGCCGAGGATGATCCTGAGCCTGGTGCTCCTCCTCCGTTCTGGTTCTGGTAAGGGGCCTGGGGCGGACTGCTGGCCTGCGAATCAACCGACGGCGGGGGACTGAGCGTCACCGAATTGGGCGCCATAAAATGATGCGCCAGGTGGTGGGTCGTATTGTGGAAGGGATTATTGCTCTCGGGCGGGGCATTTAATGGCGGCCATGTCATTGTCGGCGGATGGCTTTGCGGCGACAGTGGGTAGCGGCTGGTGGGCGTCACCGGGCTGTTGGGCAAATGCCACTGCATCATGTGCGATTCGATGATGAGCATCTGCAGCACATTGTGCAGGACATCCCCGGCCCCGGGGCACCTGTGTCCGAAATCGGCACGCGTCAGCAGACACAGCGCCTTGCCGTTCATCTGGAAGAGATCAAAGTCGAGCTTCGGTAGATCAAACTCGCGCACGCAGAAGCGCAGGAAGACCAGCACATCCTCGCGACTCCACAGTCGCGGATCCGAGGGTAACGATGGGGGTAACTGGGTTTTCAGCTCCGCCAGCTGGCTGGACGGTGCCGGTGGGCAGCGCCACAGCACATCGCTCCAGATGCCGGGATTGAGCGAATTCAATGATAACTGTACTGGGAGCATTTTCATTTTGGACATGCAGCCACTTTTAAAATAAATGAATCCTGCACGCGGGACGCTCGACTAGTGGCAGCCACTAAATATATCCGTTTTTGGGATCTGTGATCTGCAATAACAAAGGGAAATTTCACAAAATTAGTTGGTGTATTTTCTATACATCTTATATGTATGTACATATATATTTTAACGTTCAAAGTGCAGAGGATGTACACACTTCCGCTAGCAAAAATTCCAAAGAAGAGGAACACTAGGAACCAGAGAGCATCGGCGTGTGTTCTCTTTCCAGACACAACAACAACACACACATACCGCGATCCAATTCGAGGAGAGATGAGACTGAGACTGTGACTGAGACTGAGAGAGAGCGAGAGAGTCAGACAGCCGCTGCCGACATTCGCATTCCAACAAAATCAAATTTCTTCATAATCGTCGCCACCGCGCAGAGTATCCAATGGATGGTTTGGTGGAAATAAACAAATAATATACAAATATCTCCAACGATGCGGACGCGAACGCGATCGCGGACGCTACTATCCAACAACTACAACAAATATTTGTATGGCAGGCAAGCGCATCCGAACAAACTGACGGACCGGACCTCAATATCGGAGAGGCAAAAAGATAGTGTGACTCACTGGAAGAGACAGAGACAGAGACGCAAGGCAGAAGCAGAAGCAGAAGCAGAAGAAGGCAGAGGCAGAGACAGAGGCTGTGCTGAGTTGCTCTCTTCTTAGCGCTCTCTCTCTCTCTCACTCGCCTGCTCTCGATCCCATCTTCTGCGGCACACCCCCGCAGCGACGGACGTTGTCTGCTGTGGGGCAAAGAGGAAGATCTTCAGAAGAAAAACAAAAAAAAATGGTTCGGCATAACAGAACACAAGAATGCGCTACAGTCGAAGGAGTGGAATGTTTCATTAGATTCCAATTCTTCTTAAATGCAGGCGTGTTGGGGAGGGGGCAGCACAGCCCGTTGTTAATCGGTAAAAATTAAGAACATAGCGCATTCGGTAGTCGCCTAGTCAGACTCGTTTAACTTTTTAATTGTAAATTT